TTCCTCATCGACATTTAATATTTGTAGTTGACATTGACATTTATATATTTCTATCATTTTTAAGTTTTTTTGCATCAAATAAGGTATTTTTATAATGAAATTCGTACGATTCTGATCAAAATGCCCGGAAGTCGGTTAGATAGGAAACAGCAGTGATTTGTGTTTAACTTAGGGGAGCATGGGGGTCCCCTACTCCCACACTGAGAAAAAAATGGGACAAATAAACTGTGTAGCTAATACTTTTATTAATAGTGAATATATTGTTTATTACCTCTAAATAGTCGAAATAATAACAATAAATATACTTTAGTAAAATTTTATGTGTCGGGAATAAAAATATATTTAGGATAAATAAACTGTACCCTTGTCCCATATTTAAATATTTTTTTTATTTGGGAGCAATAAACTTTTTTCTCAGTGCATTAAATTGTATCCAAGAGGTAAGAGCCATAGCAACAACAAAGTGCTGGAGATTTGGAACCTGACACTTGGCCTTACTGAGGAGTGGTTCCAGCTGCAAGTAATTATGGACGAAGTTTCGGAACTAATCATCCACCTCGGAGACGACAGTTTCGACAAGGATGATGACTTTGACGAGTATTTAGATAACTAATTTATTGACAATAAAATACATAGTAATATAAAAATTATAAATAATTTTGAGAAAATAAACACCTTTATTTTATAAATAAATATGTTTTTCCACCTAAATCGTTTCTGTTAATAAAATGTCCCCACGTGGTTACGGTTTAGTGATCGGGACAGTTGCATACGGTGCTTTGCCAGGAGAATTTGTTCCTTAACAATTTTACAACATTAATATAGGTAAAATCCAAAAATAAGAGGCATTTCATTTAAAAAACCAATGCAAAGTTTACTTACTCGAAATGTCGCTCGATAATCAGGCCTCCCACAATACACGCGCGGAACCCTTGAAAATGATAAGCTACTGATCACCTAACCTAACAATTCACGATTTTTATACGTATGTCGAAAAATCAGTTTTTGACATTCTACATTGATGACGCAATTATAAACATTCCCCGCGACGACTACGTTATATGCAGAATTAAGGAACCACCCTGTAATAACTATGAAATACAAGCTTACATTTAAATGTGGCTCTAAAATTACCTACAAACTACAGAGTTATTATGACTTAAGCTAATCAATGATGAAAAATGGCAGTGATTTTCTTTTTTTAAGTTTTATACCTGACTTAAACAAAAATGTCCAGTTTAAAGAAATTGTAATTGGACACACTCAATTTTTTATAAAAATGCTTGAATTTTGGAATTGCCTTATTTAAACGCTCTACAAGATTTCATTAAATGTCAAAAATATTTTTCATTTTTTAAAAATTATAGATTTTAAAGTGCTTTCATAAAATAACTCCCATTTTAATAACATACAGCGTTTTTGATAAACAGGGTGTCAATATTTTCTGTATTTGGTTTTAATGTGTAAAAAGGAAATATATAGGGTGGTCCAAATTATTACCACCTCTTATTTTAAAAGACTAAAGGGAACAGCTTTATTATTGGCATAGATATACATGGTGTTCAAAAAAAATATTTATATTTCGTCGCGTGAGTTTTACAGGGTCAAAATTAAAATATGCACACCATCGCTTGTAAAAAAAATTCTGCATTATTTAGTTTGCAAATCTTTGCTACTGACCTAAAGATCGCAGGATAATCGTTAATTCCATGCAGTAATGCAACAAATTTTATTTATAAACATAAGCTAGTTCCAAAAGTTAAAGCACATATAATTTTCTTATAAATGGATGTGCATTAAGCCGGGTCTACAATTGTCGCAGGTCGCAGAACATAAGCTTGCGCATAGCACCCAGCTGACAAAAGAAACTTCTTCCATCGCCACGTCGCGGGGTGCTTTGCGCAAGCTTATGTTCTGCGATCGGACCCCTGCGACAATTGTAGACTCGGCTTTAAAGATAAGGATTATTTACAACAAAATATTTTTTTACGCAAATTTTATTACTTTTTAATAAAACTACTGCATGGATGTGTTTAATTTATTGAGTTTTTTACTTATTTTTATTTGCTATTCAATTAAATACAAATAAAAGTTGAACAACGCACTATAAATCGCGTTTTATTATATTGATTAGTAAGGTTACATGGTTCCAAGTATAGTGTTTTCAAAATGTTTTTTTTTATAGTTTTCAATTTTGAAATTTTAACAGATTTTGTATGTTTTTTAAACACGTAGTAATAGATTATTTTACATTGTTCCACTCAAAAACAGTTGCAATATAAATCATACTAATATTTGCCTTAATACAAACCATAAAAATTGCTCTGCTGTTAAATTCACCAAAATGTACATGAAACCTTATAAAACTACGCGACGATTTGGTAGATACACAGTAGTGCCCAATTTATTCCAGAATTATAGGAATAAAATCTGTGGTGCTAATAATGGACCACTCTTTAATAAATAATTTAATATTGTAGGTAATAAATATATTATTCTATTATATATATCTATACAACATAGAATGTGATTATAGAGGGTAAATAAAATTAAGACAAAATTTATATAATAGAATTTTTTTTTATTGAATTCAGGCAACAGTGTCTGGTCACAGAGAGTAAAATACGAAATTTTCTTCCAAGATTTAAGTGGTGTTTAATAATCTTAATTTTCATAACACAACTATTAACGGTATGTTACATTTTTTATGTTTATTTATACATATTATTCTTATTTTGTCAAAAAGTACTGTCCATAATCGTTTAAAAAGTTATCTTTAAGCAAATATAAAGTCACTGTTTCCTGCATTCAAAGGAAATGTTCAAATTGAATAAAAGTATAAAAAGTTTTAAGATTAGTTTAAACAAGATAAGTAGCGACTTTTTGAGCTGTCACTGTTATATGTAGGTACCTAACAATATTGTGCTATTGTTCACATCAAATGATTTAATAACTTAGCTAAAGATTACCGGGTTTTCTAATCGAAACAGATATCACTCTATCAACACCATATTTTAAACGTTTTAAAAATAAAAAAAAATTACTGGTACCTACTTTGGAGTTTATATGCCATTACGTATGTACAGTTGTATTCATTAAAAAAGAGTACAAGAATAAGAATTAGAGAAAACTGTCAACATTATTGCGTGACTTAAGTCACTATATCTGACAGTAGAAAATAAAAGCCTCGTCAGTTATCTCAAGTTGAAAAGTCTCAAATAGTATCAAGAATCGGAGAAGGATGGTCAATTCGTTTGTAGCGCAGTTGTATAACAGAAATAAAAAAAACTATATTAAAAATTATACAACGCTGTGAACAGGAAGATTTACTAAACCGAAAAATTGGTTCAGGTCGTCCCAAACTGTCCACCCCTGAAGAGGATGCTGCTTTTTTGGGATATTTAAGAAATAATTCATTAGGGATATTGATACAGAATTTCCAGGCTCTCAACCTACCTCCAGCAGAAGGGTCAAGAAGTCTAAACTAAAAAATAGACCAGCTGCAGCCTTACAGAAGAACGAAAACAATCAAGGGTTATATTTGCATTAAATTACATATACCGTAATCCCCAACAGCAGGGTAATTTTCACTGTCGAAAAGACCTATCAGTCAACTTATAACGGTCAAATTCGTGTTTATTGTCCCGATAATACTAGGTTTAAAGAACGGTATACCAACCCCCTTGCTTTATCGCCGTTTTTCTGTAATCGTATGGGGCTGCATAAGTGTTTATGGACATTGTTGGCGAATAGAGGGAAGGTTTAATGTCGACTATTTCCCTCGTCTTAATTTTCACCAATCACAAACGCGCAATTTTGAATTACAAATGGTTTCTAGGTGGAAAAACTGTATGACAGCACCTGTCAGAAGTTTTTAATATTGTTTTTTTTATTTGTAATAGGTAATTAGAGTAATTGCATCAAAAATGAAAATCCCTAAAAACCTTTTTATTGTAATCTAGAGGTAAAAACACATTGCGAAAATATTTTTTTATATTCCAAAAGTTCAACCCGGCCCCAAAATATCAAATTGAAAAAAAGGTACTTTTCAAACGTTCCGAACTCCCGCCATATTGCATGACGTCATAAGCTTTACCAGCTGTCAGAAATCAAGATGTCAACAAATAATAAACACCGATAAAGTTTATATGGAAAACGCGAAACCAAAAATTGGTTGTAAATATTGTTTTGTGCCTTGTACAAATACAACCTGGAAAACTCCTGGGAAAAGGTTTATCACCGTGTTAAAAGGGAAAATAAGGATAAAGTGGATTAAAATAGCTCGGCGCGATATCAAAACATCGTCACCATTTTATTGCTCATTTTAAGGATCATTTTAATGTAAGTAAAATAAAATGTCCTTTACTAGGTACCTATATGGTTTGAATAGGTATTCAAGAAAATACGGCTGAGCCGTAACTACTCTCAGTGTAGGGTCATAAACTTTGCTTTTGATAATTGAAGGGACAACTTTCCCAGGAGTTTTCCAGGTTGTATTTGTACAACAAGGCACAAAACAATATTTACAACCAATTTTTGGTTTCGCGTTTTCCATGTTAAACATAAACTTTATCGGTGTTTATTATTTGTTGACATCTTGATTTCTGACAGCTGGTGAAGCTTATGACGTCATGCAATATGGCGGGAGTTCGGAACGTTTGAAAAGTACCTTTTTTTCAATTTGATATTTTGGGGCCGGGTTGAACTTTTGGAATATAAAAAAATATTTTTGCAATGTCTTTTTACCTCTAGATTACATTAAAAAGGTTTTTAGGGATTTTCATTTTTGATGCAATTACTCTATTTGTGTAATATTATTTAATTAACCTACTACGTCAATGCTCTTTATAACCTATAGTAATTATTTTTATGACTTATGTCAGTGATAAGCTATAATATTATTGTGTTTTCTCTCATTCTAATTCTTGTAGGTACGCTTTTTTAATGAATACAACTGTATCATCATAAAGAAATGTTTAGCATAATTTTATGTATTCTACAGATTGCAATCGTTTGTCAATTAAACACCAAAGTAACTGGTCCAGTTTAAAAGCTTTTAAAATAAAAAAAAAATCGTAAAAAAACCTGATTCTATTTGGTTAGTTCCTGAAAAAGGCAGGATAGAACCCGTTAGCATATCGTGGAGGCGGCGGCATGGCGTAGCACGGCTTCGTATTATGAAACCAGCACATTGCCGGCGCGTTGACCGCTAGAGGGCGAGGCTGCAGCGGGTACGCGTATAGCGAAAAGATGGGCGGCGCGGGGAGCCTCGAGAACGGGGGCGGCAGTGAATGGCATACAGCAGTCGGAAAGGTGAGTGGAGGCACCGATGGCAGGCAGAAGCGGTACCCCCACAGGGTCTGCTAGCACCGTTGTTGGTTGTTAACGCCGTTCCACTGGTTCATGTACTCCTGATAAGACACTGCAATTTTTTCACTTTGGTAACGAGTCAGTTTTATGTTGCGGCGAACTTCCGGCGATATCGTCGATTTGTAGCCGCCCTTGCGCAGTAGGCTGTCGATTGTTTGAAGATGATCCCAACCTGCAAATTTAACTATATAGGTACTATCACTAACAAAAAAACTCATACAGCTATATTTTGACTGTTTAAATAAAACTTTTCCGTCAATGTCAAGGTGACATCGAGCTTTGCTTTAGCCGAAAAACATACAATTATTGTTCGTCTGGAACAAGGTTCTTCAGTAAGACAAGTGGCGATGATGTTTAATATTGACAAAATGACGGTAATGGCAGTAAAGCGGCAATGGACGAAATATGGAAACTTCGAGAGAAGAGCTGGATCCGGAAGGCCAAGAGTCTCGACAGGCGCCCAAGACCAGGCACTAATCCACCATCTTCGCCAGGATCCTTTCAGTACGGCACGGAAAGCGATTGATGAAACTGTGTTTCCCGGCTGCTCGATGACTGCGAGTCGTAGAATAAAAGAGTCAGAACTGCGCTGCAGGGTGGCTGCCAGAAAGATTTTTTTAACAGATTTAAGGAAGCGGACTCGTCTGCTGTTCTCCTTAAATCATGTTTATCGAGAATTTGACTTCTGGGAACGGGTGATTTTTAACGATGAAAAGACCAATCGAGCCATAATGGCCCAATAAAAGTATACCGACCGGCCAATACGAAATTTGATGAGGAGTACTTGAAACAAACAAATCCCTATGGACGTTTTTTCGTCAATGTTTGGGGGTGGATTAGTGCTCGAGGCATGAGTGTCTGCTGCAGGATCCGAGGAAGATTCAATGCTGTAAATTATATCAATGTTTTGGAGACTGTCATGCTGCCTACTGTGAGAGACCTGTACCCCGAAAATCAATTTATTTTCCAACAGGACAATTGTCCAGTCCATATGGCTCACATTGCCACCGAATGGTTTCGAAATACCAACATCGAGGTTTTGCCGTGGCCGCCTTACAGCCCAGATTGTAATCCAATAGAGAACGTATGGGTCTATATAACAAGAAAACTTTATCAACGAAATTTTCGACCAAACAATGCAGACCAACTCTGGAAAGCTACTTAAGACATTTGGAACGAGATAAAGCAAGACGACGACTTCATAAGACCATTTATTACTTCCATGCCTCATCGCAGTGATTGACAAATACGGAGGGATAACGAAATATTGAAATAATTTTTTTTCAAACTTCAACTTGACTTTGATTTAATTTTAGACTTTTCAAATACTAGATTTTAAAGCTGTATGAGTTTTTTTTGTTAGCGATAGTACTATATGGGTTATTATACTATTAGGACTGTCATTTGTAAGTTGTCTCTATCATTTCTTAATAAAAAAAATCAGACAGCTAATATAGAACTAGATTCATAAATAAGAATCTAAAATAAGAAAAATTAATAGAAAATACTTCAGTTAAATATTAAATGTCTTAATTAAGGTTGAAATTTAGCATCACACTATATAACCCCATGTCCCCATCATATTGCAATAATTAAAACTTGGATATATTTCATAGGTTTTGTATGAAACAGAATTTTAAAACAAAAATTAAATAACAAATAAGTAGCTCCTCAGTACTAATAAAGAATGTGATAAAATGTCTGTGAATAATTTTTTAAGCATGACCAAACCTTCTTCTTAGATTTAATGTCTACTCTTCGTCACAAACCGCCTAAATAAAAACAGATTTGTTATAAAATACAGTGGAGTATGGCATTACATTTAAAGGAACTCTGTAACCCATGTACTTTATAACTGTGGCACGAGATGGCCCGCTGCAGGCAATGATATCGCTATTGTTATTTTACGCGTTACAAAAAAGTGGTGTGTTTTTGAAGGTTATCTTTCGGCACCGCATTTATTTGGTAAGTATTTGCAGCATTTAATTTTATTTTTCATGTAAAGTAAACCAATTTCTTTATTTTTTCACTTGGAAAATAGATTGTGTTATTGTGAAAAATGTCTCCTTCGTCGCGTGTCTCTTTTGTCACACTGCACTGCTATCGCTACACCACGTCGCGACATTAAAATTAAAAATAAGAGACTCTAAGCGAAACCTTACTGCTAAAAGATTAGAATGTGAATTTTAAGGTTAATTTACCATAACCCACAAATTAACATTTGACAGTTTGATGACAGCCCTGGTAGAATAAGGTTTATGTTTTACAAAAGAGGAGTAAAATGGTTGTTCTTAGCACTTTAAGGCCTCCCTGCTTAAAATACCCCATAGAGACCTATACAAAATAATCTATCGAGCGCTACCGGATTCAATATGTGCATTTGTCCATGGTTTTTTCCGGATACGGCCCGATAGAAAATGTATAGGAAATTACCTATAGGAACACCATAAATTTTACATTTTCCCTATTGAGACCGATAGCAAATAACTTAATGAAGGATATATAGGGATATCCCTATAAAGCAACCATAAAACATTTGTCAAAATTTTATTAAAACCTAAAGGGTTCTATGGGGAAAAACTAATTTCTACATTTATGTGTATTTTCCCCATTGAAACCAATAGCAAATAAATCAAGGGTGGATATCCCTATAGAACAACCATAAATCCCAACTATGGGTCCTATACATACCGATACACCCTATAGAATCACCATACATTCCGATACAAATATCTATCGGTTTGAACAGGGTCTCTATGGGGTATTTTAAGCAGGGCTCTTTTGAGACTTACAATTGTGCCTCTGTAAGAAACTCAAAGTTTAATTCGATTATTAATTGGTACAAACTCAAAGCACAAGAATTGTTAACAACAAAAATGGCCGCAGTTAAACTCTGTGCAGTGTTGCAGTGATTTTTAGTATTTTTAATACGAGATAGAACAGACCTTGTTGTGTGGATTGTGGTCAAATGTTTTAATTTAAAACTTTTAAATCAGTTTGCAGAAACGTTGATTTATTTATATCAACTGATTTAGCATATCAGTGGATTTAGGTTTTTGCACGACACGGGAACGCAGTAATTTTCGTTAAAAACTGTTATTTTATTAAATAAATTGGGTTATGATCGTTAAAACGTTTATATTATGCCTAAATAGTTGATTTCTGCAGTGTAGTCAATATTAAAAGCGTATAAAATAAAATTTAACATTATATACATAAATATTGAATGGTCGTTAAATAAAAAAAAATGAAAAAGCAGTATAAACCTAGGAGTATAAATGAATTTTGACCTTGGTGTTTTGGGTTTGTGCTGTTTATACACATTAATAAATCGTTTTAAACGTTGTGTTTCTTACAAAGGCACTTGTAAGCCTCAAATGAGGCCTTAAAGTGCTAAGAACAACCATTTTACTCCTCTTTTGTAAAAAATAAACCTTATTCTATCAGGGCTGTCACCAAACTGTCAAATTTCAATTTTAAGGTTAATTTACCATAATCCACAAATTAACCTTAAAATTGACATAATATACTAGGGTGGCCCAAAAAAAAAGATTATTTTTTTTACTTGACTCTTGTAAAAATGTTAGTTTATCATGCTGTAAGAGCCCTGTCAAAATATCAGCTCGATTAAAAAATTTTTAGGGGTCGCTCAAGATTTTAAAAAATTTTCAAAATCGTCAAAAATTGAATTTTTGTTTTATTTTAATTTTTTTTCTCGTCTCGATATTATTTTTTGGGTTGAAAATAATAAAAATTCTGTAAATTTCAAATCTATATTGATTTCTAAAGGTCGCTAAAAGTTCGTTGATATTTATATTCAGAGGTCGCTCGAAAACATTCAAAATACTCTACTTTGAAATTTAAAAAAATCTTAAGCGACCTTTAGAAATCAAAATATCGATTTGAAATTTTCAGAATCATTATTATTTTCAAATTAAAAAATAATATCGGAACGAGAAAAAAAATTAAAATAAAAAAAATACAATTTTTGACGATTTTAGAAATTTTAAAAAATCTTGAGCTGATCTTTTGACAGGGCTCTTAAAACATGACAAACCAACATATTTTCACAAGAGACGAGAAAAGAAATATTCTTTTTTTTTGGGCCAACCTAATATATACATATATTATAACAGTTTGATGACTGCCCTGATAGAATTAGGTTTATTTTTTACAAAAGAAAACTTAAAACTTTAAGACCTCATTTGAGGCTTACAAGTGCCTCTGTAAGAAACACAACGTTTAAAACGATTATTAATCTGTATAAACAGCACAATAATTGTAAACAACATAAAACTAGCCGCCGTTCCGAGTCTGTACAGTGTTGCAGTGATTTTTAGTAAGTATGCGCGAAACAAGATAGAATATACCTTGTTGTGTGGATTGTGATTATACGCTAAAGAAGTTTCGGGTTTTCGCAACACGCGCACAATCTGGTGGACTTCAACAGCATTGCGTGAATTTAAGAATTGTCAACAATACATTCAAAGCATACGAACTGTACATCATTTTTAAATAAATAGGTAGTTTTTTAAAAAAAGAGAGGAAGGCAGAAGTCTTACAAATTTTGTTCAATTGCACAACTAAATCGCGCACGTTATTTGTGTTTTACTTTGCAAGGAAAAAACTAAAATACTGGTTTAGTACTCGATTTCGATTGAATATTCTTTATATCATTGATTAAAAAACTCAACGCTTAAATGCTTATATAGTTACGTTAGTTTGTGTATTTTATCTAAGGGATCATGGTGAATTATTGTGTTTTTAATTGTAAATAAAATTCAACAACTAAATCGTTGCATTTTTATGTTTTCCCAAAGGATCCAATTCGGTAAGTACATTTGTTGGTGCAGAATTAACTAATGATAACTTTACCTAATATAATTTATATTTAAGTTTGGACATTTTTAAGAAATTAGTAAAAAATAATTTTTGCACAAACATAACCTTAAAATCAACCATTTTTATATTTGATATCTCTAAAAAACGCCGACAACTGCATTTTAAACAACAAAATATACCTACGAATTCATGGCATAATAAAGGGTTTTCCATTTAAAGCGTCATAACTTTAACCCTAAAAATAAGGCTGCTCTGGAATGTAAATGTCAAATCTTGACAACACATGTGTTCAGTACATTGTGTCAAATTAATATGGACAGATAACAATTT